TATTTTTAGTTTTTGGCAGACACAACATCTTTGTATGTGGTGCTGAGGATTGAACCCGGGCCACACGCATGCCAGGTGAGCGCGCTACCACTTGAGCCACATCCCCAGCCCTGCTTCCTCACTTTTGCTGAGGCTGGCTTTGAACTCGAGATCCTCCTGCCTCATAGGATTATAGCCATGCACCACCACGCCTGGCTCTATCATTTATTTTCTATACAGTCTCTCCAATGTCTCTCCTACCCAAAGCCTGGTTGTCACCTATAATCAGTAGCCCTAGTTGCCTTCACATAAGCACATATATTATACACACCATGTACACATCAGTGAGCTCTCAGTTTGCAAATCCTGAAAAGGGGAAGAACTGGACTTTTAAAAATTCATGATATATGTTCTTGATCAATAAGAAAGTCATTTTCATTGGGTCTAAGATGTCTAAGATGATCCATAAACATGCTTTGCCTATGTGAGTGCTTATTGGACATTAGCTGAATGAATGCATGCGTGTAGGGAAGAATGTTTACTCTTTATTACACAAACTTCATGATCTAAAGCTACATAGACACTGATGAAACATGCATAGATAGAAAGAATAGAAGGTTAACTAAAAAGAAGGGGCCATGTGTGCACAGAGGGTCAGCTTACCACGTGAAGGCTCTTGTGGAAATGCAGACTCACATCATAGAAGTTTCCATTATGCCTAACTGCCTGTGTTCTGGTCTTCAGCTCCTCTGTTGGACACCACTGCAAGGCACAGCCCCCTGGTCGGCCAAGCAGGGACACTTTGAGGAGGTAAGAGCCTTGTGGAGCCTTGTCCTTGAGACCCCTGATGCATTTGATCTGTATTTGAAGAGGCTGAGGTGCCTGAGTCTGCTGCACCTACATAAAAGGTGGAGTTCTTGAATTACACAGGAACTGGGTAAAACCACACAATTAGCAACAATGGGCTTCTCAGGGGGGAAAAAAGTAGACAATTATTTTTACTCAACCTGTAATTGTCAGGTATTAGCAACGATAACAGACGAGGATGCATGATGTATAATTAAGAGGTCAAAAGGCAAAATTGCTGAAGGTGGGAGGGAAAGTTTAGCCAGTTTTTAAGCATGGTATGTTAATGATCTGTGACATCAGAAACCATTCATCTATTATAATAAGATAGAATTAACAGGAAACCAACACTTTTAAAAACCACACAGCATGCCTTCTAGATATTGGGGATGGGCAAACCTGGGCAGCAAGCTTCAAACTGGGAACCCGAAAGGTGACACCCTGGGCCTGCAGCACTGATCACAGATCATAATGCCACGGGATAAGGAAAGTGCAGACTAACGCCTCACCTGATGGAGAACTCTGTACTTTCAACACCAGGTCAACGTGCCCCTAGGCTGCCAAGAACAGTCCAGAAAGTAAAGGAGAAATGGCACGTGGATATGCTTTACCCTAAAAGTCAGCACAGATTGCATGGGTCTGAGGCACGATTTAATATTTTACAGCACATTTGGATTTCCATTGTTCATCCACAGCTGAGAGCAGACCACTTTCATTTTTAATCCGTGTCCCCAACTGTATACAAACTAATGATTTTTAATAAACTCTTGTTTCAGATTAAATAAATATCAAACTGGGATTATTAATAACTCAAATGTCATTAAGTCATGCTTTTATACACACAAGTCCCGAATCATTTTTGGAATAATTTGACCTCAAAGAATTCTCTGGGTTTTTTTTTTGTGCTTTAATAAAAATTTAAAAATTAAAAAAATAATAATAACATCAGGTTTGGAAGCAAGTTACTCTCTTGGCCATTCCAGTTAGTAGAATCACCGGTTAATCTGTTGTAAACAGGAAGTGTCTTTTAATCCTGTCTAGATTATTTGCTGAGATAAAAATATATTTCCATAGAGAGATGATGCTGCTGGAATTGAATCACAATTAAACAAACGGTGAAAGTTGTTCAACTTCTTTTGTTGTTTTTTTTTTTTCCTACAAGTCGTACTTAAAAACTAATCGGAATAACAATTATTTTTGGTTTAATTAGAAAGCCTTAATTAACAACAAGGACTTAACCTTCATATATGGGTTTCCAAAAATATTTTAAAAATTAACACCATGTGAATAAATAAGACAATCTTTTTAAACCTCAAGGCAGGATTACCGATGCAAGCAGACGGAGTTATTAAACACATTCTAAATTAAACGCCTCTATGAATTTTATACTGAAATACATTGTGATAGTTTTGCATGCCAAATGTGACATTTTGTGTTTTAGATTCATCTTCTGTAGTCATTTTGGAAATGTCATACAAACAAAGATTTTTGTCATTTACCAATGGAATTACTATGCATGGCCGCTTAGCCATCTCTTTGCCGGCTCTAGTGGTTGTTTCAAGTCAGCAAGCCATAAAAAATCTTTATCTCTCTGAAACACAGCAATTTGGAAGATAATCGAATGGTGACTAGGGGGCAGAAATGCCAGTCTGAGGAATTATACCACAATCTCTCTTGCATTTACAACGTTCCTCAAAGCCTGTGTCAGAGGAGTAGGAGAGGGAGAAGGGAGATTCGTCAAATCTCAAGGCTTGTCTCATTTGCATAGAGCTAGCCCTGCCTCCTGGACAGCAGGGACTCAGGCTGGTCTTGAGGACTTTGAGTCATTCTATTTTAGCAGGGGATTCTCATCAGATATATTTATTAAGACCTGTTAAAACTGTTTTCCCTCAAGAGTCCTACAGGAGGAAGGGAGAAAAGGCAAGTGGATCAATACCATTGATCTCATCATTTAACATTTCGCATCAGGAAAAAAGTCAGTCCCAGGAGCCTCACCTGCCAGCAAGATCCTGCTGCTCCCTGGGAATCATTAGTTACCTCTGTAAGGGAGCCGAGCTTGGCCACGTTGTCCCTTTTACCAATGGGTAAGTCTGCAGTGAATGGTGGAGCTCTGGGGCTGTGATGGGAAGGAGGGAAGAAGACAGAGAAATTGACTGTAGGGCACAAAGAGAAGGCTGGCCTTTGGAACCACAGCACAACCCGGGTGTCTTCCTTAGACACGTTGGCAGGTTATCTAGGACTTAGATAAACACCATCAACCATCAACTGCAGTTGATTAAAGTCAGGGAAGAAGTAGCTTTTGAAGTATGGCCCCATAAAATATAAGACTCACTATATTAGCCACCAATCTCCCAACAGTTAAAATGCCACTTGTTTCAGAAATTATCAGGAGATCAAATGCAGTCATGCCTCCTCTGTGTCTGCGAGGGACTGGTTCCCAGAGCCCCCAAGGATACCGAAATCCACGGAGGCTCAGTGTCTTATATAAAGTGGCATAGTATTTACATAACTCCTCCCCAACATCCTTCTTTAAAGCATCTCCTGTTACTTATGACGCCTAATCCAATATAAATAACATAAACAAATGTAGATAATTATTTTACTACATTTCTTAAGGGAAAATGACAAAAGTCCCTACGTGTCCAGTATGCTTGCTACCATCACAGGCCTAACCACAATTGTTTCAGTCCACAATTGGTTGAATCTATGGGAACGAAATCAGTAAATACAGAGGGTCAACTGTGTTTGATAAGGTGTTTTTGCCCCCTTTCTTTTCTAACCCTTCCTCTCATCTTAAGTTATTAGAGAACTTGGAGAGGAAAAAAAATTCTTTTAATTGGTTGCTTGGTTGTTTTGCCTTAACTTTTTTTACCCCATTGCTCGGGGTTCGGGTTCCTTTTCCCCCTTCACCACGTTCCCTCTTCCCCCCTTTTTTTCCCCTTTTTACCTTTTCCCCCTTTTCTTGCGGTTTTTTTCTTCTGTTTGGTTTTTTTTTTTTTTAAATTTATTTATGTAGCTCCTTAAATCCTGACAGCATTTGCCTACTTCCCCAAACTCGTTTGAATTAAGGCTCTTGTATCTCATGTCTCCTAACTCAAGCTTAGTTCCATCACCAGGACCATCTGTGACAATGACTGTACCCCCACCGGAGGAATAGCCTTTTGGGGTCTCACTGCTGATTTAGTTCCCTATGATACAAATGATTTCCCTTAATTTGATTAGAGCTACATTGACACAAGGGTTCATTAGGACACCCATTTGCTGGCAATTCAATTTCAAATTAAATACACTTTGTTGTAAATTTTATTACTTTTAAACTACTGTATCTCTTGTCTTTAATGGCCCTATTATACAGTTATGAAGGTAAACAGATTCCATTAGTAAACATCCAACCTTTTATTTTCACCAAAGTGAGATGATTTCCTCAGTTTCTTTCTTTGTTCCCCTGGCAAGTATTAGAAGGCATTCAGAAATAGACTAAAAACTTAACGTCAATAATTGGATACTACATTCCCAAGCATAATCTGAAAGGAAAATTAAAAAAAAAAAAAAAAGAAAAGAAAACACAGTTCCTAGTTACAATCCTACTTTTTTGTAATTGAAGGTTTTCTGAAATTAACTTCCCAGTAGAATGAGTTGGACATAACTTTTCTATGTTTTATATGTGGATACACTACCAGTGTAACTGGACATCATGTACAACCCCCAAAATGGGAAGTTATACTCTATAATATGTATGATATGTCAAAATACATTATAATGTTGTTTATAACTAAAAAAAAGAACAAATACAAAATCTAAAAACACAAAAAATAAAATCACCTTCTTTAAAAAGGGACATAATGAACCTTAAAAGGTCAGATACACCTTTAACACGATAGCAGGTATCTAGAGACAATCTAGTAATGTGAGTTACCTTAAAGCAATCAAATTCTAAGTCCGGAACCAGGAACAGGCTTTTGGTCACATTCTCAGTAGGTCTTAAGGCAGATTATTCTCCTTGTTTTCCCTCTTACTGAGCACTTATTAATTTTATGATCATGTAAGTAAGGTTGTCTGTCAGCATCCACTGGGGATTGGTTCCTGGACCCCTGTTGGGTATCAAAATCTATGGATCCTCAAGTTTCTTATATAAAATGGTGCAGTATTTGCATATAACTTTCTCACATCCCCTCATATACTTCAAATCATCTCTAGATGATGGATAATACCTAACATAATATAAATTTTATGGGAATGGTTGTTATACTGTATTGTTTAGAGAGTAATGACAAGATTTAAAGTCTATGCATGTTCAGTACAGATAGTTTCCAACCATTTTATATCTGAGGTTGGTTGAATCCATGACTGTGGAAACTGAATTCAGAGGGCTGTCTGTCTATGCATAGATGTTTGTACATTCTAAAATTTTCCATTAGTTTACAGTCCAGATATAACCACCGATAAAAATATTGATTTCTTCCGTTCTTCATGCCCAGTTAGCTAGTCATATTTTTTAATACAAAGTGAGACAGATGCTGTAAATATTGTTTTGTAACCTGTATTTTCTACTTTATATATTATAGGCATTCTTTTCTTCTACAACATAATTTTTAGGTATTGCCTAGTGTTTAATTCCAAGGGTCTACCATAATTCATTTAAATGATCCCTTATTGTTGGATATTTAGGTTAGTTCCTATTTCTAATATTTTAAGTCAGCCTGTAATTAGCTCTATCACATAGAAAAGCTTGTAGACCTCCCTGGCCATTTTCTTAGTAACGTCCTATCATTACCAATGTTGGGCATGGGGGGTAAACTGTTCTACCGGTCACCGATCTTTACATCATCTATTAAAATGATGTACGATCCTGTGTTCATGGCCCAGACTCTCAGACATTAAGTAGTGAGACAGGTCTCACTCACTCTGGTTGGTTTCTTATTTGCACTTCTAGTAGGAATAAAAGTTAAAGAAAATGGCAAAGAATAAGCAGCAAAGATGTGCAGCAGGGGTTTTCAACCTCAGCACTATTGACATTTTGAACCAGATACTTCTTTGTCATGGTGGGGGCTGCCCTGGGCATCACAGGATGTGTAGCAGGATCCCTGGCCTCTGTCCACTAGATACCACTAGCTCCCTGACCCACTCCTACTCCTGACAATCAAACATGCCATTAGACATTGCCAAATGTCCCCTGGGGGCAAAATCAATCCCTCCCAAAAGCCACTGATGTGCAGTATTGAGTCACATATCTGTTGAGCATGTGGCTTGCTCAAGGCTACTCTCAAATACACAGTATTTCTATCTCACTCAGCCCTCACAATAATCCAGGTATTATTGCTCCTGCTTTATGGAGCTGATTCTGAGGAGTGTTGACCCTCTTGGGCAAGGTCACAAGGTAGAGGTAAAGCCTAAGATTCAAGGTGAGACCATCCAACCTGAGAACTGCTGGGAACCACACCTACCACCACCACTTGAGGGAGAAGTGCCTGCAGTATCCCAAACCTGCAAGTTCCTACCTTGGTCCAAGGCCTTAGGTCCTTTCCAAGAGATACAGAAAACATGGATCAGCTATGAAGGGAAAGTGAGGAACGAGAGACAGGTAAGCAAGAAATGAAAGACGGAGACCAGGCAGAGATACACAGGAGAGTTTACTTGTCAGAGCTGACAAGCAAAGGCCATCTCTCTATAGGAGAGAGAGGCAACACAGGCTTGAGTTCTGGGGCTTTTATGGGGGAGTTTCAGAAATCAGAGCTGGGCAGGTCCTAATGATGGTTGGGTTGGTATGAGGGAGTGGGGAGCCTTTCTCAGACAGGCCCTTGGGTGGGAAAGTGAAAATTTTTCCTTAAAGTGATGGCTGTCACTTAAGATGGCCGAACAGATGCTAAGCAAGGACCTTAGAAGCTACACCACCCTGGCTTGAATGTCTCATCCAGAACCATCATATGGACAAAGGGGCACAGATATATCACAAGATGAAATGGGGTCACTGTTCCCAAAAACCTTAGGTTGATTCACACTGGGGCACCTAGTGCACCTTTAATCCACAGCCACCAACACACACACACACACACACACACAGACAAAATAAAACACATTAAATCAAATATGAAGAAACATACTTCCGAAATGTTTTATCAGTCTTTAAACATGACACAGGAATGTGCTGGTTGAGTCCTTCCCCATCAAATTTCCATTCCTGCATGAAGAAAAACAAAAACAGAAAAGAAATAAAATTGATGTTTAGTTGAAACATCTACACCTAAGTTCACTTTTCTAAGACCAGGATATGCTGCCCCTCAAAGGCTGTAGTTCCCAGAGACAAAGAACCCTGAAATTCGACCTTTAGTAGCCACCTTCCTATGGTACCATCTTCCTCACTTGCTTAGTGACTTTCTCCAGGGAAGTAGAGGGAGATCAAAACAACATAACAAAGAGGAAAAATGCTAAGTGGACACCAGCACAGCTTCTGTGTCCCTTTTGATTTCTCTCTGTCCCCACCACTTACCTTCCATACATGCCTTGTACACACACATGCTCACATGCCACATAACAGTATGTTTTCAGACATGTAAATGGATGTATGGCTGGATGTGTAGCATCCTAGGGTTGCAAACAATAATTTTAACCATATAATTTATCATCCATTTCAGGACATTTAAGGAGTAAAAGGGAAAATTTAATTATGTGAGGATGGTAAGCAAAATCTAGGGCTATCCTGTGTAAACTGTAATGTACAGAAACCCTGTTTAAAATCTATTTCTAATACTAATAATAGTATTCCTGCTGAAAAACCAGCCTCTACCTTACAGCAAAGCCTGTCCAAGGAAGGGACATGACCTTTGTCCTTGGAAAGACCCACAAAGCACTCCTAGGCACATACCCACCCTGCTAAGTTGTTTATCTACAAATAACAGGAGAGATCTGCTGCACCAGGTGTCCCTGACTCAGTCAGGCTAGGTGGGGACCCATAGCAACCCCCTAGTAGCCACCAATCAGCATGAGACAGAGAAATACCTGGGATGCCAGATGACCCCCCAGTAGTTATGGTGTTGGGAAACCATGTAGTTCATCACGAACACCACTCTTGGTTTAAACCAATCAGTTCAAATGAATCCCCCTCTTGTACTAACCAATCACCCCTACCTAACTTGTTCCCGCCAGTGAATGTGCTAATCATGTTTTAGAGTTGTTTTATATGATTTTTTCCCACGGTGTGTAATGATTTGCTAAGAGATGCTATGATGTATGTGAAGTCCCTGCCTTCCCCAAAACTAATATCGCATTATGTAAAAATGTGGATGTGTAACCGATGTGATTCTGCACTCTGTATTCGGGGTAAAAATGGGAGTTCATAACCCACTTGAATCTAAAGTGTGAAATATGATATGTCAAGAGCTATGTAATGTTTTGAACAACCAATAAAAAAAATAAAAATTAAAAAAAAAAATAAGAGTGTATAAAACTGCTGCAAACCCTGAGCTCAGGGCCTCTCAGCGTCACCAGTTGCTGTGTGTGCAAGGAAGACAGAGCTAGCTCACAATAAACACCTTTTTGCTGCTTACATGGGTCTCGGTCTCTGGTGGTCTTTGGGGGGTCCTGAATTCAAGCATAACAGGTGTTGCCAAAAGCTTGGTCCTCGTCCCCTATGCCAATCCACTAATGAGGACACAGTTTTTCTCAAAAGAAAAAAGAAGGTTTATTGCTTTGCTAGCAAAGGAGAAACACAGGGGACTCCTGTCCCAGAGGCTGTCTTCTGCCCATCCAGAGGAGCAGGGGGGCTTTTGAAGAGGGATTCAAAGGCTACATTCCACATGCTCTGGGTTGGAGCTGTCATCCACTTGTTAATTTGGGAGACAGTCATTTCTGAGATCTTCTGGTGCCATCCCCAAAGTCTGGGTGACTTCCTCTTAGGGTGGGTGTGTGCCCAAGGACAGATAACTCTGCCTAGGATGGGGAAGAAAGGGAATCCTGTTTCCCCTGACATTAGGGAGGTGCTGGGAGAGAGAAGAGAAAAATAACATGTCCACTTTAAAATTAAGTTTCCATGGCAGAGCATTAAGGGCCACATTCAAAGCACAAAGTGAATCACTATTAAGTAGGCAAATATTAACATATTCAGTGAAGGTAAACAGAGAGAGAGAGAGAGAGAGAGAGAGAGAGAGAGAGAGAGAGAGAGAGAGAGAAGAGGAGACTCAAGAGCTGAACTCTTTAATACTTAATTTCAAAATGCACACATGCACACCATCACTTCTGCTTTTGGTCTCACAGATCAACCCTGGTATCTCACAGAGAGAACTAGATAAAGGTGTGAATAATCAGAGGCTAGGATCATAGGTCCAAAGAGCTATGTTGGATGTTCTTGAGGAAGTCTCCAAATCTGGGACTAACTCCCAGGGCTCTCAGCCCTGCCCCCTGAACCCCTGGTTCCATTCTCTGAACCCATCACCTTTTTTCATAACAGGAGCTCACCTTTGCAGCTAAGTGTAACCGTGGCCCACTTTATGTTTTGAATTTAGCCCTTGCTGCTCTGCCACTGGGACCAATTTTTAAAATGGATAGGTTTCTGCTCCTCCCTAATCCCTCCCCCTCCCTAATCTCAGGGGAAAGAATATTACCTTTCTTCCCCATCCAAGATTTATCTGTCCTCAAATATACACCCAATCATAGGAATGAGGTAATCCAGAATTGACTATCTCCCAAATTAACAAGTGAATTACAACTCCAACAGAGAAGTATAGAATGCAGTTTTTGAATCACCTCTTTAAAAGCCTCCTGTTCCTGCTGATGGGGGCAGAATCACAGCCTCTGGGACAGGAGTCCCCTGTGTTTCTCCTTTGCTAGTAAAGCAATAAACCTTCTTTTTCCTTTTTCTCAAAACCGTGTCCTTGTTATTGGATTGACGTCGGGGACAGGACCAAGGATTCGGCAACTTAAGTACAATCCCCAGCCTGCTTCCTGCCATTAGAATTTAGGGACCCAAAGACTTCTCTTCATTTTGCTCTATTCCTTTTGTAACCAAAGCTCGGTCACCGACCTCAATGCCAATCCAATGTGATTCTGCACATCCTGGGGAACAGGGGCATTTTAAAAGAGGTGGCACAAAGAAAATGAGATTAGGGAGAAGTTTAGGGAAAAGAAGATCAGGGAGGAGAAGTTTAAGGAGAAGGTTTAGGAGGGGAAAAAAAAAACATGTAGTCAAAGCATCAAGTGAACCCCTATTACACTTTCAGTCAAATCAGTTGATTTTTCTGTTTATATAATTACTTTTAAATCCTTGTGAGTCTTCTGTGAATCTTATTGGAGTTCACTTTATTACATGAAAGTCAAAACCACAAATCTCTTCCAAATAAGACCTGCTCTACCACGGCTTCCAGTGACAGGATGAGGGGCTATGCCCTTGAGCTTCATAGAAATTCACTGTTTGATTGACAGGAACCGAGAGGCACACCCTTAATCTGTTCAGCGTGCCTTTTGTCTAGGTGAATAGTGTTTTGAGCCACTGCCTTTGATATTTCTGACGTCTTAACAAAAGATTTGACTCTGACACCCCCGGCTTCATCCTTGAATCACATTTTCCTGGCATCGGATCTTTGTTCAGAAGCCATTTCTTCGTTTCTTCTGTTGTTTACCATCCGGGAGGCTGAGAATTTTCAGAACCATCAAGCCATGACTCATTTGGCTTCACAGTCCTTCCTTCCTTGAGTTCATTTCTCTCACCTCACATTTTACCATAATCAGTGAGAATACAACAGGAAGCACCTATAATCCTCAGGCCGGGAATCTCCTCAGCTAGATTATCCAGTGCATTAGGTCCCTGGTCTCTGTAACTACAGGCAACACTATTGCTAAACTCTCTCAGGCTCCTGAGAAAGACTCCTTCCTCCATTTTCCAATGGGATCTTACTTGCTTACGCCCTCAGCCCACTTCTCAAGGACTATCAGCATTCTGGAAGCATCTTCATCAAGGCACTCTATGCCTTCAGTAACACTCTTCTTGAAAATTCTCTGTGTGTTTTCAGTGTCATTCATGACTTGTGTTTGGGTGGGGCAATACTCCACTTCTAGGTACCAAATTCTGTAACTGGGCCCTCGTTATCCACATGGGACACATTCCAAAACCTTCCAGTGGATGATGGAAACCTCAGATTTTTTTCTTTTTCTTATACAAAAATAGAGTTTAATTTATAAATTAGGCACAGAAAGAGATCAATAATAACTAATAATAAGATAAACAATTATATCAGTATACTGTGATAAAAGTTATTTAAATGTGCTCTTTCTCTTACTTCTGGAATTTTCCATGTAGTGTTTTGGGATCACACGTTGATCTCAGATAACTGCAATCACAGAAGCCGAAATTGTGTATGAGGAGAGATGACTGTTGTTACTGTTTTATATCCAATTATCCCACGACTTGGAAATGTAATAACAAACATTTACTCTCACACAATTTCTGAGAATCAGAAATCCATGAGCAAATCTGAATTTTCTTTGCTTAAGGTCTCTCTTGAGACTCCAATCATTTTACCTGAGGAGGTAACACCTGGTGGAGACCAGAGCTGCTGGTCACCAGAGCTGTTGGTCCAGCTCTGGTGACCAGCAGCTGTTGTTTAAACAGAGAGGGGGAGATGTTGAGAGCCACAGCTGAAGGGGCCCCAGCAAACTTCCAGCTGCCGGCTGATGATTGGCTCACAGCGGCCCCAGCAACATCTAGCTGATTGGCTCCTCTGCGGTGATGCTCATTGGGCTGTTTCCCTGCCCTTTCAGACCACGGAGCTGCTCATTGGGGGACTTCTTTGGCTCTGCCCATGCGACCCAGCCAATCGGCCTCAAGAGCAGGAGGATTGTGGGAGGTGGGGAGGCTGGTGTGGGGGTGAGAGGCTTGTGGGAAGCCGGTGGTGGCATTTGGGCTCTGAGGGTTTTTCCTGAGGAGCTGTTTTGTTTGGCGTGTGTGGTTCTAAAAATAAAGTTCTTTTCTTTTGACAAGTGGCTCCTGAATCGTGCCCAGCCAGACTGCGGCAGGGCATGACTGGTCCTTCACATCCTCATCAGAAATCACCTTCTAGAGGTTAGGCTCACTGTGTGAATTTCTTTATTCTCCCACTCACGTTGCCCCCTATAGTTTCTGTTACATGCCTATGACCCCGTCTCCTTGTGAAAACAAGGCTGAGATCAATAGAAGTCTATGATCCTTCA